GAAATCCCTGACTCGTGCGAAAAGCTGATATGGGGTAAGAATTGATCATCCAACCGGCTCACTCACCCAGAGGTCTTTCCTTTCTCAGGTTCGGGTTCAAACAAGAACACATTTCTTGGCTACGAAACCTTCTTAAGCACCACCATGGGCACGCGGAGTCGACTACCCTTCCTCCTCTGTGCTCTAGCCCTCCATGATTCAAGAAGGCGTTACCCCCTCCAACTACCTTTCCACTCGGTGATCTAATAGTGCCTGTAGTACATAGAAGTATGCCACACGACGTTTTTCTTGGCTTCACGACATGTTTTTGCTTTAATGTGACCAGTTTCCTTCTGTTCAGGTGCAGATGGTTAAAGGGAGGACCATTGGGATTCCAAGGATTAACAATGAAGCCCTTCATCGTTGATCAGTCCTGTTTGCTGTTTGTGGGGTGTGGGATAAAGGGGATAAATGGTCTGGTAGGCCAGAGCTAGCAGCAAGTAGGGCCTGGATCCCTCGACAATGCGGGTGTTAGTGACAACACCCACCTGAGTCTTTGTTCGAGCGGATTAGTCGAGAAAAACTAGGAAACGATGCATCGACCTCAATAAAATGTGTTTAAATCTCATATACGTTGTGTACGAATGCGCTTATGTGAAAATTCCAAAGAAAATAGTCGAAAGAATCATTATTTGGACAGATACTCCGGTATTCCTGGATTTCTCAGGGTTCATCTTGCCAATGCCGTTTTGAAAACTGTCAAATGTGAAAAAGACTTGCGTTTTTTGAAATTGGTCCATGTGTGACTCTATTATGGGGGCTACAATCGTAAACATAACGTTTGTAAAAATAGTTCTTCGGCATTTCTTGATATGCACTTTTCTTACGAAGACTGTCGCAGCCAATAAGGGTGCGAGTTCTCAATTCCAGTCACATAAGCTGCGAACACTCGTGACTACTTCTACTTTTCTCTTCATTTCTTATGGCCATTGGAGTAGACTTTTCTTCAGCTGGGTGTAATCGCTCATGAGGTGGCCCACGCGCTCGGATTCTGGCATGAACAATCACGACCTGATCGCGATCAGTTTGTGAACGTCCGATGGGAGAACATCGACAAGGTGAGCTGAATTCGGCAGATATCGCTGTCTTCTTGATTGTTAGGGTAGCTTGCACTAGAGAGATGATTAGATGAACTATNTACAGAAACAGACAGTGTTCAAATTACTCAGAGGAAGAGGAGGATGTTCTGATTTGTTACAGGATTCCAAAGGACAATTCCTCAAGGAGGATCCTGACGATGTGGATAATGCCGGCGTGCCCTACGATTACGGTAGCATAATGCATTATAGGTTAGGTTTTTTCAACTGGCCTACCCTTGATTTTGAAGCGAGTCAAGCACTCGAATCGTTTGCTGGCCCCAACCTCCCAAAACAGAAAAAGAAGCTGTGGGAATATTGCTCCTAAAACCGTGCATTACCCAGGTGTTTAACGTATTGCATTTCAGAAGTAAAGCTTTCTCACGTTATGATGATCTCTATACCATAAGCACCTTCGTCACCGACTATCAGAAAACCATAGGTGAGGGACTATTCGCTGTCTTTGGAACGAACATATTTTACTAGGGAACAACCCATCCATATCATCTGCTGCCTCATTTATCAACAATTTCCTCGAGCATGCCCCAGTGATTTGCCCTTTCAGGGACCAGGGGAGTTCAGAGAGCTTCTTTGTTCGAGAAACATGAAAAATTTCATTCTCCTCAAATAAACCTCCATAAAGGAGCCCGATCTTGGGCGGGCCGTCATCGTAGTGTTCGTTTGACGCAAGAGATTTACTTGATAGATGTCCTGCTCCAGAGGTCATCACGAAAATGCAAAATGCTCCATTGTATGCTATCCTAACCGTAAATTTCTCTTTTGTCCAAAAATCGGTGTCGCTGGACCGGGATCATGTGCACGCTGACTTTTGCGGACCAGAAGTAATCGAACCATTGGCAATTCGTACCACTGCTTGAGCTCGCAGTGTTGGTCAAGACCCCACATGACGTCTCTGACGTCGTTCCAGGATTCCGGTCGTTCCCTAGTCTCGTAAATTACGGTAGTGGAGTGTACCTCATCGAACTGGTCAATCCTATGCCATCGTACTTGATCTACTCCCCGTGCTGAAACTATCTTTGTTAGAAATACTAGAAGAACTCTACAAGGGGAATTCTCTGTGGGCTCGGTAGGAAGGTCTGAAACCGACTGTTCAGGACAACGCGACCAATTGTCCTTCAACGATATCCGACTGATGAATAAGATCTACTGTAGCAACGTGTGCTCACGCAAACTACCATGCCAGCGTGGAGGATATACGGATCCACGAAGGTCTGTCTCCTTACTGAAGTTTTTTTTCAAAGAGTAGGAGGCCCCCCACTTTGTCTGTCAGCGGTTTGTGCTACTTATTCAGCTGTCACTAAGTTCCGCTTCAGTACAACAGCCGCATAGCTTCCTCTGTTTGCATGAACGAATTCTTCGCGTCTTATTGCTGATCTGATTTCCTGGGCAGAAAAACAGGGTGGGAAAAGTTTGTGGCGTGCCGTTTTACAATTGAAACGGGGAGAGGATCTTCTAAGGCGCGAATGCCTCTTTAGCAGAAAGTCACAGCTGGTCTCGAAACGACACTGTCAACAGAATTACTCGCTTTCCCGTTTATTTTTGATCTTTCAACAGAATGAGTCACTTTTTCGATTATTTTTAACTTTACCGATCTGCAGGTGTGATCGGTGTAGATGTCCAGACGGGTTCACCGGGCAGTTTTGTGAGCAGGTGATGCCAGGGTATGGCGCAGTTTGTGGAGGAAGAATTCAGGTAACATAGGTTTACTTTTCGGCTTTAACGTCGAGTATTGAAAGTTGACTGATTTGATTTTTTTGTGCAGATTCTCATGTAGCAACCTCAGACGATAATACTTTTCTGAGAAATACCCTCTCTAAAAAAAGGGGAATAGTTTGGTGAATGAGGCACAGCCGCATGAGGGTCAAGACGCCATTATGGTCTATTTCCGAAATGTAGTTTGCGATTATTTCCTGTAATCGACCAATTAAGGTGAACAGCGGATGGACGAGATTCAGCAGTCCAGGTTATCCCCGTGAATTCAAAGAAGGTTAGCGTATAGGGCCGATGAGAAATGTAGCTGATAATGCTTAAGCATTTCGTTTAGGCCAAGAGTGTTCATGGCTTCTTGTTGCTCCACCTGGACAAGTTGTGGAGATGCAGTTCATTGGAGAGTTTGAGATGTATTGCAAGGTATGCAGCGTACACCATTCAGAGGACCCTTTCCTAGTGAACCCATAATCGCAACTGATGAAACTACGTAACATCCCTTTTCACATGGGTTTGCTTACTTTTCTCCACCAAGTGAATGCACTGCAGTGCAGAAATCCCATCACTTCACCACCTTGAGATTCGTTTCGAGCGTTACCCAGTGCAACGAAAATGTTCTGGAAGGCCCTTACTTCAGGTCAGACACTCCCTTTGCATGGATTATGTCGAAGTGCGAAACTCAACGGATTTCGCGAATACAGGAATGAGGTCAGTGCTCGGTTTCATTGATAGAAATACTGTTTGTTGTGCTTGTGCCTTCCATCCACAAAGTTTACCGATGTAGCAATGGTTTTGGAGTTCGATTTGCATAGGGATTATTAAAAAATGCGAGCGGAACTCGCAGATTAGAGGTATTGCAAATTACTATTTAGGTTCGAAAAATGGCATTCTTTGCAGTTGTGCTATGAAATGCTTTATGTGAACCCTGGAGAACAAAGATCTTTACAGGTACTGCTGTTACGGCACACCGAGCACGAGTATTCGTTCAGCGACCACTGATTTGGTAGTGCTGTTCCGTAGTTTCTATCGAGGCGGTCGAGGATTCGAGGCACGAGCTCGAGCTCTGCCCGCAAATGGTCAGTGGGCATCGTGGACACCCTGGACACCCTGCACGGCCAGCTGTGGAGCATGTGGTTCACGGATGCGGACTCGCGTCTGCCCGCATGGAGCATGCCCGTATGTCATCCTCACTCTCTTCTGTGCACGCTTGCGTCTTTGCTAATTTACTGCATTTACCCCATCCCATTTAACCCACTTACCTGTGTGAATTAAATGGCTTCAGGAAATCTGACTGTATACCTTCAAAAACGTAGTAGAAATGGAATGAATTTATGTAGTAGGTGGTGAGACTTGAGTGTAATAACGCACAGTGGAACATTTTCTCATCTTAAAAAACGTTAGGAGATAAGAACAAACTTGTTCCGGACAGCAATGGGTGGTCTTTGTAATCCTTGTTTCGAGGTACGCTCACTCTAGGTGGAAGATAGCTTGGGACACTGCTCCCGGACGGCCATTTAGTCCACAGATCGTTTTAAAAACGGAAGGGAAAGTATACTAGTGCGGGATTCCGTCGGCTTCAACTGGTCCCGTACTTCTCAAGCCCCATCAGACTTCTGGAGGCTAACTGAACGAAGATCTCAGCCGTAGTGTGGTAAGTGAGCACCACTAAATAATTGTTGCCGTGTCCAACACTGCAAGATGATCGAAGTAATCCCAGCATCCAACTTCCTAATCTGTGTGTGCTTGTGGTGCCTCACTGTGTTACTGCGACTTGCTACTGTTATTGTTACTCTATGGGTTCCTTCATCCATTCGAATTGCAGCGGGGAGCCAGTGGAGAATCAAGTCTGCAACACCCATCCATGCAATGGACTCTGTGCACACAAGAAAACAGAGGATGGCGAATGTGGTGGCTTTTTAGCCTTACTCAGAGGAGTAAGGTGTAAGCAGTAAGTTGACACTTCTTTTCTAATAAAACTCCAAGTAAATAAACATTTGAATGAACCAATAATTAAATAAGTATATGTGGCATGGCAATGCCGGTGGGCATTTAGAAACAGATGCCCTCATCAGATTTGTTATTATCAAATACAGTTCATAGCAAACGGTCCTACGTTTACTCGTTACCTTTGTCACGATATTAGCTGGATCACTTTATCCGTTCACCTCATTTTTTGGGAACTATTTTGACGACTCAAGGAAAAAGAATATGCACTTCAATCTTCAATTCTTTGGTATGATATAACCAGACCAGACCACTCTGGGACATGTGTATCATTCGCTTTATTTACCTTTTACTGCAACTACAATACTCACAGAGAGACAATATCAGGGTAGATCGCTGTTCCTTGAGTACTTTACGGCATGGAGCACTAGCATAACCTTGTGTCCGAAGTAGCCCAGACCGTTTAGACACCATGGCCCAAAATGAATTTTGCCAAGCACTCGGTTCCCTTTAGAAGAAAACACATTTCACCGTAGGAGGCGAAAGACACCTTCGAAAACACGGCTAGAATGAACTCAGGTGGCCACATTTCTGTGGCAGATGCAACTCAGCCGTCGTGTTTCAGAGAGCGGACAGTGATGGAGCCATGTGAGAATGCTTGTTGTCCAGGGTTTTCCGTTATTGGTGGTCGCTGCGTGCGGTGATATACGGGCATTCATATATGTATGCATGGTTTCAATGTGACTTTATTGTAAAGTGATTGATACATATTGTGATAAATTGTTCAAAACTGATCGAGATTTTCATCTTCTATCAAACTTAGGACGTTATTTTTGTGAATAGGAAATCCCTCCTGATGAGTTTCTTAAAAAATGTGGGGGGTTATATTGGCCCTTGACCAAGGTCAATCTGGTCCTTAATCATCAACACTAGAGCGTTAGAATCTATGTCGCCCCATACCATCGCTATTGGCTCATCAAAACTATGTACATAGTACGAGTTGGGTGAGTCGTATCAGGACCTAGAATGGGAAGGGTTCAGACAAGCGAATGGGCCTAATTTCGATAAGTCAGCAGTAATGGCGTGTTGATAGATCGTGATAGGTATCTTGGTTCTGGTCGAAGACGTCATCTTTGGTAAGTCAACTTTCCCATCTTGCTTCCCCACGGACATATCCGACTCGCTCAAAAAAATCTGCGACTTGGTGCTCGAAAATGCCTTCAAACTCCTCCAGGTTGCATTTCTAAGTGAGTTAAAGATTCTAAGTCTGAGTGAGTCCGTGAGACGAGTAATGTTGTCCTCTCGAAACCTGAAATAGGTCATGGATGAGTTGTATTGTTTGATCAGCTTGTGCAGTACTTCGTCAGTTGGTCAGTTGCCATTTCGATACTCAGATTTGGTGTTTGATCCTTCTCAACGACGTTTTGTATAAAGGAAATTTGACAGCGATGCCTTGATGACTAGA